TAATAACATCTGCAATGACAAAATAACAGGGTGGAGTGTGCGTGGGAGGGAGGGGGTGTGTGGGGTGGTGGGGGTAATACATTTTCCTCCAGCTTTCAAGAGAATTTCCTCAAATTTCAGTGACCTGACAGAGATGAAACCTGTACAGATGGCCACATGCCCCATGATCTTGTTGTTTTTGCACTTTTCTCTCCTTGAAAACGAACGTTTGGTAATTTTTATTTTTTATTTTCTCGAAATCAAAATCACGGTTTTCATAACATGTATAAATTCCTTTATAATCGCGTATTACACTCGTATCAAGACTACTACATTTTATATTCTTAAGAATATCAATTCACCTGGGAACAATAGTATGGTCATTATATGTCATACTTGGTTCCTGTTGCCCTATTCAGTCATAGTGTACTGACCCCCCCCCCCCACCACCACTTTAACACACACACACACACACACACACACACACACACACACACACACACACACACACACACACACACACACACACACACACACACACACAAATAAACAGCATAAGAAAATAACACTGGTTAAACTTAAACAGTTCATCGATCCTTACTAATAATAATAACAATAATAATAATAATAATAATAATAATGATAATAATAATTTCTACAGCGCCCACTCCCAGCCATACAATACTGGCCTAGGTGTAATACCTTCATCTTAATGCAAAATACATGTGCATGAACGTTCATACCCTTACGCTGATAGAGCAATGCTAACACATAAGCAGAAGTCCATGCTATCGCAGTACAATTATTGACGATATTATGAATATAGCACGTGTAATCGAGTATGTTTTTTATACCTCCATTCTTAGGACTTGCTCTCATAAGAGACTAATCTCCTGATCTTACAGGTCCTGGTGAAACATAATACATTTGAATGAGGTTGCTTCCATAGAAAGGGATTTATTGTTAACACATAATTTATGGCAAGGGACGGCGATGTTGTAAGCAATTCTAGCTGTGGTTGGGAGTTAATTGATTTTTTCTAAGGAAGGGTTGATAAAAAGTATGGTTGCTCTTCCTCTCTTTAGACAGAAGTCTCGCAGCTTGGTTTGGAAAGCGCTGTAATTTCAAGACGGTGATGTTCGGAAGCTTTGCAAACAATATTAGATTTATTTTGAAATACATTTTGTGGCTCAATCCCGTAACAACTTTGCTGCATGTCACTTTGCCACCCGATAAACTGTACTAAGAATATTCATCGTTTTGGTCAGTTGACTTTATTCTACCACATAACAGTTTTATAAAGGGGCTCTCGTGACCAAAGAGGTTAAGGTGTTCCCCTCTCATTCAAAGGTCCCGGGTTCGAATCCGGCCGGGTAGCGACAGAAAAAAAATTCTCCTCTAAAATTCTCTCCTTTCACCTCCTTTCCTGCTCTCTATCAATTTTCTATCGTCTGCCTAAGTCTCTACTTTCTGCCCCCACCCCCTCACCTCTTTTTTCCCCTCATATAGGTGCCTGACTCTTTCTGCAGCCTTTCTCCTCATTCTTACTGCTGTCTTTCAGCCACACCACTAATCTTCTGGTAGGAAAGATCTACACCTAGCCATCTCGGACAAGGGCGAAAAATCTCGGAGGTCCGGTGTGCAAGTTGCGCACATTAAAGATCCCTTTGTGGTTTAAAATCGATAAGAGTAGGCTTCGGCAGCCACCTGAGCAAAACTCATAATTTCTGACCAACTGAAAATGTTTAATGTGTTCTACGCGCTCACATGACCTTACGCAGTTGCGGGCACCGTAAAACACTTACAAAAAACAAAACAAAACAAAACAGAAACAGTTTTTTTAATGCCCCCACCCCCCAGTTTTTTTAATGTCTTGGTGTGGTTTACATGAATTCTCAAACCAAGTAGTTTTTCCTATACTTCAGCTGCTTTCGAGATTTAAGAAAAGGGATTTCGAGAGGTAAAAGTTTAAGTTTACTAAAGGTGTTGAGAGGTTTGTTCCTTTTCAAGAGTTTAAATTACTAAAATAATCGTGTTATAATATGTGTTATTCGTGTTATTCTTAGTTTATACAGCACTCCACTCTACAACTAAGAAGTAATATTTTTGGACGATGGTCATAGTCATTGGTGCATCCATAATTGTCAAGAGTCATTTAAATCAGACCAATTTGGAACGACTCTTCGCTATAAACATCGCCACAATCCCCATCCCTTCCTTTTTTTTGTTCTTAGAACTAAAAATGTCTACTCCTGACGTCACATAACTCGGACTGAAAATGACCAGGCAATGCCCGGTTTAAGACAAGAAAAAAAAAGCACAATTTCATTGCGTGGTAGTCTGTATGAGGATTTGTTACACAGTTTCTTTTTTTTATTGGAGATTTTCTAAGCACTTTGAAAACCTGATGAGCACGCAAGTGGTATTTTGGTTTAGAAATAGCTTTAGCTTAACACTAATGAAATGATGAGCAAGATTTAATGTTCGCCCCCGCTCCACCATGCCGTTTTGCATTTTGCTGCAATACCACTCTATGCATAACCTTTCTACACCTTCCTGCCTAGATTTTCTAAATCAAACCGGTATCTTTGTGCGAGGTGTAAGTTTCATATCATTTACGCCCCCCCCCCCTTTCCCTCCCTTTCCCCCCTTTATCTCCTCTTCCCTGGGTTTGAAAAGAGATGGATCTTTTCAAAATTGTTGTTCATTTGTAAAGCTCAAGAGGTAATGTTTTTCTATGGTGAACTGAATGCCTTCCCTTATAATACAATCGCGAAAAAGGCTGGCACAGGTGCATACTGTGTGCGTGCATGTTCTCCTGGGTTGGCTAGGTTATGTTGTAGCCCAGTACCCAACTTGAGTTCGACTCGTGTATTGTTGATATGACGTATGGTTTGAGAACTATCAAATGGAACAAAGGCATGTCATGCCACTAGATTGTGTTCTTTTTGTGAATGCGTTGTGACCATGTCAGCCTCCGAGGATTAGAGGGAGAGTGAAAGCACTTGTGTTCTTCAAGAAAGAAAATATAAACCTGCTTGTAGTGGGGAACAAATTTTCTTTTCGTGAAGGTAGGTCCGTAAAAAATCTCTTTTTGTTTTATAGTCAGCATGCGTATATTTGGCCTATTTGGAAAAAAAGCACACAAAAAGACAACCGAAACTTGGAGAGGTTAGATCTAGAATCTAGATAGCAAACTGCATGTCTGTAATACAAACTGTAATGGCAAGAAACAGTGAACAAGGGCGATAATTCTTTTTGTCATGTCTTTGGACCTTCAGCTATTTTTATGAGTTCGGTCCCTTGATTTGTTCTAGTTATAATTCGTTCCCAACTTCCGACTGTTTTTGCTTTTTATTATGTTCCCTCTGCCGACCGAAGGTCATGTTGTTTATTATTCAGAGGGAGAGTGACTAATTGGGCGATGTGTTGTATACGAGAAAAAAAAAGCTGTTGACATCGGATGACTTATTAATTTGACAGATGGCTGAATCCACACTTCCCTTGCTCTTTTTTCTTTCCTTTGTGTACTGGAAGTTGGCAACACCCCTGTTTCATAAGTAGACCTCTCGATCTAGATCTAGATATCTAGATCTAGAGATCTCTAGATTTTCTAGGCCTAGGCTAGATCAACACAGCAACAGTAACTGTTTGTTGAATAATCTAACGTACATAATAAGCCTATTATTATATCTCGGACTTTAAGCTTCCTTGCCTTCTAATTCTTGTTCCTTTTATGTTGTACGGTCTTTGAGATTTATCAAAGTTTTCATTATGAACTGCAAATAATTCCACAACACATATGCTTAGCCTACAAGTTTTTGTCATGTTGCTGAAAAAAATTACAACTGTTCCTCATTCTCCGTCTCCAACCCCGGTCCCTCGATCTTCCCCTTTTTTAAATTCGTGTTTTGCTTTCCCAAACATACAAAACAATCCCAGTTGGGCCCTATGAGATAATATGTCACAATATGTCAGTCAAAAGCCTGAAGAGATCCTTTTATTCAGAGGTTATTCTACACTGTGGAAATAGTATACTTCTTCCGTAACACATTTGGGAAAACAACCTGGTGGGTTGCTCTTTCAAAGGCGGGAGAGAAGTCTATTTTAGCGTGCTGTGCTTTAAAGCTCGGAGGATCTTAAAATATCCGTGTCATAAAATATCTCTATGACAAGAGAATACGCCAGAATGTTTGTGGCAACGCTCTACAGTCCACAGGAGGCAGGGCATTGGCTTTATAACAAAAGCGAAAAGAAAACCGCCCGTCATTGGCTGCACGTTCAACCTCCGTTGATAGCCGACAACCTGTTCTGGGTCGACAAGAAACTTACAGTGACCCGTCGAGGTCACAATGATTCACGCAACCCAACAACGAGGTTATTTTTGCACAGTCAGGAAAACCTTGCCAGTGTGTATGACCTCGCTGGGCAAGCCGCCAGACTTGTAGCTGCGACTAGCCAATCGGAGATAGTTAGCAGTTCTGAAAAGATCCGTGAGAATTTCCGAGTTTTGCCGAAGTCTTCCAGCGGAAGCGTAGTTGCCATATAAGGCTATAATGCTTCCCGTCTGAGTGACGTCAAATGAGAAGAGTCATTCTTCTATGACGTCGACATTCTTGTGTGCCAAATATGGAAGTTTCCGACACTAGGTTCAAAGGTTATCACTACGAGTGATGTCGGGCAGTTTTCGCACGATATACTATACAAGATTTTAGCCTTATTCAACACTAAATCTACCTAGTTTTTTGCATGCACATACAAATTGTAGTTATAATTACACATAGTAAAAGAAAAATAAATTGTAATTCTCGGTTTTGTAGAAAACATCTACTACCAGTTGTGACCTAGTTTTCTTCGTGGGTAAGCTTGTACAATGGGCCTCGGAAGACGATTACTCTTGAGCATTGACGTCAATGGCTACGAGCTTTCTCATTGGCTCCGCATAAGAAATGAGGTTCCCTATATGGGCATGGCGCTGTCAGCAGGCCCATTCATAAACTGGAGTTCATTCATGATTTCTCAGTCAGACCGATAAACACCGCGCAGTGAGTGTGTGTACGATACATCTCGCTAACTTAGTGGATACGCAACAGATGTTGGTTACTTGTATCACACTTCTGTGATTCTTTTACTTCAAGTCTCGGACTAAATATTCGTGATGATTATGGACGGTTTGGAGTCCCTAACTCATGTTGGACTTGGTGCTGAGTTGGGTTTACAAAGTTTGTGTTACGACACACCAACCCCAGGAGCTCATATTAGACATACTTCGGAAGCCTTAGACGAAGGATTAAACACCCCTGTTACACTATGTTCAGATTCAACTTTCTTTGGACCTGATTCATTGGAACCTCCACCAATTACAGCAACTGGTAGGTGTATTTTAACTTTATTTAAGCGTCGTTTATTATGAGACCAACCGGTATTTCTGCGACTGTCCATCAGCTGTTTGCTTCGTATGATGACGTCAAAGACCGTTTCCAAAAAGGGAGATTTCGTCTATTTATAGAATTGTTTTTCATGTCAGTGTCTGTGATCGGTTTCTGCTTAAATTATCAGTTGACGCATCGTTTCTTTTCACGCTTTTCATTTTATAGCAAATATTTAAAGTAAATTAACAGTTTCTTTTGCTGTTTTGAATGGAATAGGCCTAGGCTATGCGCCACAGAGCCCGCAGCCTCGTTATCGATTTTCCCTTCCCGGCTGGCTATGAATATTCATGAAATTATTTTTGGCTGTGCTCAGTCGTTACTTACTTCACAAAGTGCCTATGTCACACGTGTTGCCCTTGTAAAGAATGGTTGAGTGAAAGGTCTTGAGGTCAATCGCATTTTTTTCTTTGAAGTCTTCTTTGTTATGCATATAATGCTTCCGTTTTTCCACCATAAACACTTTCAAAATATAGTAGTTTACCGAGTCTACGCTCTTTAGATCTAGATCTAGATATCTAGAGATGAGAATACTTTATGACAAGCTCACCGTACCCAATAGAAGGCATAATTACAGCTACTCCAAGAACAATTTTATAAGAGAAGAAGGGGAAAGAGAGACTCACACGCTACCTTTTACTTTTTATACAAAAATCACAATTACAAGACGAGTGACAGCCACTATGTGAGAGAGTAGATAAACGGAGTATGCTGCATCGTAGCCCTGTGTAACTTTAGATCGGTACTAGAGCTAGATTTAGAACTAGTGTCATTGACATTCATCCACCTGCTTTAGGTTAGGAGCTTACAGTGAAAAACGTTTCCAGTTTTGGGGGATCTTTAAAATATGATCTATGCTATTGTTCTCAGTATAAGCCTTAGTCCCAGTACATGTATAATGAAGCAGTTTGTTCCAATTTATGTAGCCTATTGATTGACAATACTGTGTCTGTGGTTTCATCGTTTTCCCCCCATATCAGTGGAACTAACAAGTATCTTCTTTCCATTTTGTTCACAGCAAACATCTTTGCCTCTATCAACATCCCAGAGAAGTCCACTGATGCTTCCCAGGCCACCAAGGTGTCTGGCCTCCAGGCCAATGCTGGAGGAACCACACACACAATCACCTACAAAGGGACACTGGTCACCACAGCTGTCACTCCCAGCTCCACGCAGCAGGACTCGACTCCCCCAAACTTTGCCTCGCTGTTCACACCCTTATCTCCCCTGTTCAGCGCCATTTTGTCTCAAGCCACCTCGCAGTCAGCTACGTCCACACAAGGTGGTGTCATCCCATTCCCCACTCCCGCACACCCACCGTGTGAGTTTGACATTGGTGTCCCGTCCACTACAGAACAACAAGCTGAGCAAACCCGGCCCTCCCCCTCCCCAGTATCGGTGCAGTCCCCCCAGTCACAAGGTCCCATCACTCCATCGGAGGCCCCATGCCAACAGGATGCTGGGGAACACTTCTCCACTGGCTTTGCTTCCCCCATCAGCTCCGCCCAGTCCAGCCCAGAGCCTCAGATGGTGCTTATGTCTGAATCACAAGGTACAGAAGAAAGCATGGGCTACAATTCTCCACCTCCCCCGTACTCACAGTCCATGGCTATGTCTCTGCCCATGGAGTTGCAGATGCACAACATGCAGATGAAGCAGCCACCCACCTACAGCAGCTGCACACAATCACGGCAACCGGCTCAGCAGGCGCAACAGCAACAACAGCAGAACTTTTTGAACTTTCCCAGCAACAGCTTATCGGACAGTGTGTTTGAGATGCATATAGCTGACTTAGCCAACAAAAGTAGTCTTACAGCTGATCTCAAGTGGTCAGTGATGAGCCAGAACCAAGCACAGCTGCCTGACTTCAGCGCTCTGCAGATGGGCCCAGGATCCTCTGGGATGTCATCACAGTTTCCTATGCCTACCATCAAAACAGAGCCAGGTACAGAGCCTATGGATGACCGCATGTTCCTACCTCCCACAAGTATGGACTTTTCCGCTGTTGTGTCGGAAGCCTCCACCAGCTCAGGACTACCCTCAGTACTTGGCCAGCCGTATCAGCAAAATTCTCTCAAATTCCTTCCTGTCAAGCCCAGAAAGTATCCCAACCGTCCTAGTAAAACTCCCCCTCACGAGCGTCCATACCCATGTCCCGTTGAAAGCTGTGACCGCAGATTTTCCCGAAGCGATGAACTGACCCGACATATACGAATTCACACAGGACAGAAGCCCTTCCATTGCAAGATCTGCAGCCGCTCTTTCAGCCGCAGTGACCATTTGACAACCCATGTGAGAACGCATACAGGTGAAAAACCTTTCTCATGTGATGTCTGTGGTCGCAAGTTTGCTCGCAGCGATGAGAAGAAAAGGCACGCGAAGGTTCACCTCAAACAGCGCATCAAGAAAGATGCAAAACTGTTGGCAGCAGCTGTGTCGCACCCGGTGAGTCAGCCCGAGGTCACTACACCCTCATCCAGCGCGGCTGACTCATCACTGGACAGTCTGGTCAGCACCATCCCCCTAGTGGTCAGCTCACCTTCCTTTCACTGTCCATCCAGCGTGGTGCCCACCACTTCTATGTGACAATAAACTCAAACTCGGCAATTTCAATCGAATTTCTTGGTGCTAGTGAAATTTTTTCATGGCTGGCGCAGTACTGTTCCCCCAGAGGCCAATACTCGTTCGTCCTCACGCAATTTGTTGTTGATATTGTACATAATTCTTGCCCTAAAGCCCACATGAATATGTACGGGCTGTCCATGAAATCCTCATTGTTTTCATTGTTTTTCTTTCATGTTAGAAAACTTGTTTTCCCCCTCCACTTCCCATATTTGTTGAACTCTTGTTGCTTCTCTGACAAACGGTATCTGTGATTACAATCTTTCTTACATTTCACCTGGTTTTTCATTTATCCTACTGTTTGTACCCTACTGTGTTTTGTTGGTTTTCTTTTTTGCTCTGTGTTTTAAACATTGTTAAATCTGCGATTCCCCTGTGCCATTCTTTCAGTACGAAGTTGTGTTCTGTTTGACTACAGTGATAGTTAGGTTTATTAATTGAAATTGTTTGAAGTCCTGACTGACTGCCAGAAAGTTTTTCAGTTTTACTTTATGATTTTTCTTTGTGAATGGATGCCAAAGAATAGAAGTTTTCTGTTACTGTTAGCATGGGAGTTGTATACTGTTCCTTTTTTCTGGTTTGAGGCAGCATTAAATCAAACACTGCTAAGTTTAAAAGTTGTATTGATCATTTTTTTTCCGTAAGTTTCTCAGCTTTTGTTGATCGTTTGATGTTAGTAGCAGAATATTGTAACTCGTGTTGTTAGCTTTTGTATTTCCGAACGTCGAATGTCAGTACTGTAGTGACTTTCCTTTGTTCCCTTCTCTGCCCCTAGGCACTTACAGCTGGCCTTATGATAAGCACTTTAATGAGTTCCACTGGATGGTACTTGCATTGTTTCTATCCATAGCTTCTTTACGATACAAATTTTTATGTGCAAACTTTTCTGTTGTATTTAGATGTGATTCCTTTGCTGCCGGTAGCTTACACTGCCTTTCTTTCGTAATCTATTTATTGTGCACTGTGACGTACCTATAAGGTGTATGGCTGCTAAAAGTGAAATCAAAATACTGTACGTGATAAACGGTATGGCTGATTGTGTGATCCTACTAAGCTTGACCACTGCCCAGTGCATGTCTGAGAAGATAAGTAATGCTGGTGGTATGTGGTCGACTGTGCTGTACCTGGGCTGGTATGTTGTGTAACACAGCCAGGGACATATATTCCAGAGCATATATTTGAAGTAGTATAAATGTTGTTTGTCATCTCTCAGGGCATGACATGTGTGTATGCCATTTAGTGTTCTCCCTTGTTTTCAGTTAAATTTGGTGATAATGTCCATTTCCTCACAATGACTTTGCCATTTGTTGAACACAACAAAAATCCTCTTGGTTCTTGCTGGCTGAGAAAGAGACGATATATTATATAAATATATATTTTACCAAAAGTATGGCATACTGCCAACGTATTGAAAAAAAATATGAATAAAAAAAAAACACAAATTTTAATCCATCTTGTTTCTTACTTCTGTTTTACATGTGTGTATGTGTGTGAACTGTGGTGGTTTAGATGTCAAAAGTGGCTTCCTACCTGAAAGTAAGGTGGCTTTCATGTCCACCATACTCCCCAACGACTTCAAAAAGATCGAAACCAAGACTGCTGCTTAATCAACTCTATGCTGATGACGAGTCATTAGTAGTTGAAAAGTGCCTGTAAATTTGGCAGAATGAATTAACAGAACACCTCTCTTACTGAAAATCAGAAGACAGAAAATGGCTTGACTAAGGTCATCGGAATACGAACAAAGAAGCGTTTATCAAAGAAGTTGGCTTTCTTGAAAGTTGAACGCTCTCTATGTACTGGCTTGACTGCTCGTATGTTGAGTTGAGGGAGACTACATAGGCTAAGGTGGGAGGGTGATTCTGCAAGTTTGGCAGCTTGAAGAGGAACTTTTTTTGCACAAGAAAAGAGAGCCTGGCGGGGTGAATTTCATCAGAAAGTTATACAAGTACAAGCAAACAATTCGTTCACAATCTGAAGGCAATATCAAATGAGTATTTTGCTTCACTCAAGATGCAAATAATTGCTTCTCTAATGAAATACCTTATGTTTGTCAGCAAGGATACAAGCTGGATAAATAGTACTTCATGTGGTATTCCAGAAAAGAAACGCATTAGGGCCAACTCCTCATCAACAGCATATTTTCAACCATATATTTTTATAATAGACTGTATAAAACGACTTAGACTTAGATTCAAAGAATTAGTTATGTAACTTCACAGTATTACATGTACTAAGATGTTTGAGCTCAAGTGTTGATCTCTGTAATTCAATAATTGTGAGAATAAACGTACAAATTTTACTTCGTCTTCAGTGGCGTAATCAATAAATTATAAAGTGTGTGTACCCCCGTGCTGACTGCATAACTGCTTGGCGCTGTCTAGGCTTGGAAATGGAAGCGATGAGATGACGAACGGTAGCATTAGGAATGGCTTTCACGCTTGTGCCAGAGCTTGGGAATTCATCTAGAGGCACAGAATAGAATTCTGTGTCTAGAGGCGACCTCTGGCACGCATTTGGTTCAGATCAGGTGAGTTTGAGGGTCAAGGAAAATTCCGAACATTGTTTTTTTTTTAAAAGCAGTTATCAGTTAGTTATGCCGTGCTAGTAGGGCCTACATAATGGGTCCCCATACCCAACCCAGTGCATCCCTGGATGATGGATAGAGGGAAATGTCTAGCTCCTTCTTGCACACTTGAAGACAACTGGGTCAGGGTAAACCCAGAGCAACCTACTTGGAGAGCCTAAACAGGTGGGTGACGGGGAAAGATCAGTAAAATGTAGCTTTTTTGAGAATATCGAGCAAAGGAATGAACGTACAACCATGGTGTGGGCCATGGTTGCGCTGATTTGACACTTGATGAAGAAACCATGGTAAAATGGGAAATTTAGGGTTTGGTTTTGTCCCACTGTAAAATTGACCCTTGTCTTTGAAAGACTGGAGCAACATGGTGTTCCAGAAAATTGTTTCAGTTACGAGTAGCTCTTCTTCCTGTGTGACTGGTAGATCCCACATCACACTTCATCCGCCATGGGCTAGTGCTTCATATAGCAATTGTGTGAAAATAATAACTTGGTTCGCCGTCTGTCGTCTCTTTGCTGTCTGTCTGTCGTGGCGAGAAAGAAGAAACAGAGATTCGTCTCTGAACAAGGGAGTACTCCACTGCCGTGACTTCCATTGGCCAAGCTGGATTTCCAAATGTGACGCCCCTGTTGGCGGCGACAAATTTGTCAGAAAAGTCCGCTGAAGAAGTCATTGTACCCAAAGACTGACTTCAGGAAAACGATTTCGAACACCCAAGCCAGTCCTTGTATTACGTTGTACATTGTATAGCTTGAACACTTCGGGGCCGCCGAATATAAGAGATCTCGAGGACGAGTTGTTGCCCCTTGTCTCCCAGTCCTTTGGTGGTCTGCTGTGGATATCGACCCAAAATTTGGATTGTTGATTTGGACACATTCCAAGTAACAGAAACAATTTCCTGTGGTTGGTCTGCTGCAAGGGTACCTATTGCTTGCTCCCCTTGATGCGGTGAAAGTCGAGGTTATTTAAAGAATGAATTCTTCTTCTCTTACTTCTCGATATCTTTAGCCTCTCACATAAAAAAACAGATAAAAACAAAACGCCCCGTAATTTCGTAAAGAGATCAGAAAAATATAATTTAGAACTCGCAACATTGTTGCTTGATTTCAACATTTAAGTCATGTCAACTTCGGAGTTGCAAGATGAGAAACAATCTACATGTCATGTATAACACTAACACATCGTCTGAGGATAGGCCAACTCATACAACATGCTTACACTCATACACATACATACAGAAAATCACGAACTTATCACAATGTAATAAGTCTCACTAATTTCGGCGTAAATTGTACAGTTTAGAATGTAAATTTGAAATGATGTGTTGACAGGTTTAGAGTTACATGTATTTGGTGAGATGGCATTTGCCATTATTGTCGATGGGCAACGTTACTTGGGGTGATCATAGAGGTCCATATAGTAGCCTACATATTATAAGCTTAGATCTATACATGTAGTTAAAGCCCCGTTTGGAGCATACATACAAGTCATCAAATGATGTACAGCCTTCGAGGCTCCGGTAATCCTCAAGTATTCCTACCCCTAAACATCTCCATGTAGTTTTGTCTAGTCTACCTTCAGCACCTCCAACCCC